GCTGATGTGATTGCAGAGCTGCTGGCCATTATCTTTGAAAACTCATTGCAGTTGTGGGGGGGCCTCAGATGATTGGAAAAGGGCAAGTATAATGCCCATCTTTAGGAAAAGGAAGGAGGATCAAGGGGACTACAGACTAGTCAGCCTAACCTCAGACCCTGGAAAAATCATGGAGCAGGCCTTCAAGGAATCCAAGGAATTTCTAAGCACTTGTAGGAGAAGAAGGTGATTAGAAACAGTCAGCATGGAATTTACCAAGGGCAAGTTATATCTGACCAACCTAATTGCCTTCTGTGATGAGATTACTGGCTCTGTGGATGTGGGGAAACCAGTGAACATGACATGCCTGGACTTTAGCAAGGCTTTGGATACAGTCTCCCACAACATTCTCACAAGCAAGCTAAGGAAGTATGGGTTGGATGGATGGACTGTAAGGTGGATAGAAAACTGACTGGATCATCAAGCTCGGGGTAGTCAATGGCTTGATATCTAATTGGCAGCTGGTATCAAGTGGAATGCCCCAGGGGTCAGTTCTGGAGCCAGTTTTGTTCACTATTTTCATCAGTGACCTGGAAGATGGGATAGCATGCACCCTCAGCAAGTTTGCATATGACACCAAACTGGTGGAGTAGCAGATATGCTGGAGGGTAAGGCTAGGATTGAGAGAGATCTCAACAAATTGAAAAACTTGACCAAAAGAAATCTCATGAGGTTCATTAAGGACAAGTGCAAGGTCCTGCACTTGGGTTGGAACAGTCCCATGCACTGCTACAGGCTGGGGGCTGACTGGCTAAGCAGTAGCTCTGCAGAAAAGGACCTGAGGGTTATAGTGGACAATAAGATGCATGTGAGCCAACAGTGTGCTCTTATTACCAAGAAAGCTAATGGCATACTGGGCTGCATTAGTAGGATTGTTACCAGCAGGTTGAGGGAAGTGATTCCTCTCCTCTATTCAGCACTGGTGAGGGCAGATCTCGAGTATTGTGTCCAGTTTTGGGCCCCCCACTACAGAAAGAAAATTGGAGAAAGTCCAGCAAAGACAACAAAAATGGTTAGGGGCTGGGGCATGTGATTTCTGAAGAGAGACTGAGGGAACTGGGCTTATTTAGTCTGGAGAAGAGAAGATTGGCAGGATTTAATAACAGCTTTCAACTACCTGAAGAGGGGGGAGGGTTCAAAAGATGATGGAGCTAGACTGTTCTCAGTGGTGACCAATGACAGAACAAGAAGTAATGGTCTCAAGTTTCAGCAAGAAGAGTTTAGATTAGATATTAGGAAAAGCCTTCTCAGTAGGAGGGTAGTAAAACACTGGAACAGGTTACCCAGAGAGATTGTGGACTCTCCATCCTTGGAGGTTTTTAAGGTTTAGCAACACAAAGTTTTGGCTGGGATGATTTAACTGAGGATGGTCCTGCTTTGAGCAGGAGGTTGGACTAGATGACATCCTGAGGTCCCTTTCAACCCTCACTTTCTATGATTTTCAGGAATATTATACTCTATGACTCCATTTTATGTTTAAGCTAAATGGTCTGGAGATCTTTTTTTTTCTGTGACAGAGGCTTTCTCCACCTAGAAAAAGCAAGTCTCTTTCAGGTGGAACAAGAGGATTTACAAAAAGACTTTTTCTGTTCTCCTTTTTTCTGCTTCTGCATCCTTTAAGTTTGCAGTGGCAACTTTATAAAATGTTTCTGAGGTATTTTAAGTGTGTTGCAAGACTCCAGAATTTTGTTGGAAATGGACCTACCAACAACTTGTGGAAACTTTGAGAACAATCTATTTAGAGTATTTGGCCTACAAGATCATGCATTACATTTACTGCAATTCTCCCTGTTTTTATTAATAGCAACATTTACATGAAAACAACATCTATGTTTTTAAGAAACCATCAACTGTTGTGGCTTACTCACTGCTGAAAGTCATATTCCCCTATTCATTACATCACAGTTGCTATGGAAATTATTCGTTTTCTAAACAGGGAAAATAGTTTCCTAAATAGGAAGCTGAAAATATGAAATCTGCAAGACTGTCCCATAGCCTCTGTAGAGTGTAATGCTAGATCAGGTCTTTCTCCCTAGGATGAAATCAGTGTCTCCCAGTGAATTCTCATTCATTGCTGTTGCACATTATTTTTTATTGTACTGTGTTGCATTATTTGTATTGTAGTAGGGCCTTAAGTTTCCATTTAATCAGAGATCAAAGCCTTTTGGCGCAGATCCCATACTCATCCATCAATTACAACATTCTTATCAATCCAATGAGAATATGATCTGGTCCTGGCAGAATTTCCAAAAACAAGGCATAATCTGGCAAAAAAAACCCCAAACCCATGGCTTTTATGTATAGGCAGGTTTGAAACTGTTCTATGTACAGAACCTTCATGATTCTAGCAACTTAGTCTACCTATACATGGAAAAACCATTTTGTTTTCCAAGTTGCTACAGATTATAGCAGAGAAGATGTACATACAGTGGCACATGGAAACTCTTATGATATTTCTTGTTGATTTTTTCCTTAATCTGAAACAAGTAATTTTCAACTGAAAGTGTAGATTGCTAAACTTTTGGGAACTTTCTTTGTTGAGAATCTTCTTAGCTGGGAACAAACAAATCCTTAGTTCAATACCAGGTCTTAAAGTAGCTGTTGATAACACCCACTGTTGAAATAGTTGCAAAATAGTTTCCATTGTAATCCAATACTTGTAACCTGCGCACTGCTCTGCAATAGCTGAGGATCTGGCCTCACAGCTGTGCATAATAAGTAACAGAAAGGCAGGAGTCCAAATGTTAGTTTCATTTCTACCTGTGCAAATTTTAAAATAACTCTATCGAAGCAAAAAACCCCACAATCTTCCAATAGTGATATGTGTTGAGCATGTTGCACAAAACAGCATTTGCTATTCCTGTTTTAGTGGTTAAATATGTTACTTCATACCATATGTACCTGAATTCAAGATGAGTTTGAATTTAAGACAACCCTCCAATAATGAGATTCTGTACATGGAAAAGATATACATTTGTTGTTATTTTCCATGTATAGAATATAATTATTTGAGGGTCTTGAATTCATCCCTTACCATTGTAGCAATAGGTGACAGGCAGTGGGGGAGGGAGGGAGCAGGTGATGTAGAAGTCAAGCAGCCTAACCCCTGACCTCTAGTACCTGCCTTCCTGCTCCACATACTGCTTGCCCTCTGGATTCAGTTCCACGCAGAGCACATGGTTGTTTTGGCACCAGCTCCAGCCATGTAGAGCTGAAGCCCAAGCCAGAGCTGCTGCCACCCCTACTGCTGCTGCTACCAAGCTGAGCTGGGGCCAAGGCAACTGCATACTTCATGCCCTGGGCTAGAATGGGGTTGGAGGCCTGTCAGAGCCAGAGGGTAAGTGGCAGTGGGGTGTGGGCAGAAGGGCAGAGGCAGTGATGTCAGGGGAGCAGGCAGCAACTGTGGCTCCAACTCCAGGTCAGGGCTGGAGTCAGAACTGCAGCACCTGCCTGCCTCCCCAAGCACCGTGTACTCAGATCCAAGATGAGGAAATTTATTCCACCCCCCAAGGTTAAATGGGAAAGAAAACCTAGTCCTGGATTCAAGTAAATAGGGTATGTGAACTATCTATATCAGGTGTGCTCTAGATTTTGTTGCTGCAGGCTAGGTGAGGCCCAACACCACCACCCCCGTGCACCAAGATCAGGCCCTTGTGCCCTATGCCATCTTTGCCTGGCTGGGATCAGGCTCTGGGGCCCCACCAGGCTGGGATCCAATCCCAGGGCATTGCGCTGCCTCTGGCCAGCTCCAGCATGCCAGGATTGCACTTAACGAGCCCTGCACTCTCCCTGCTTAGCTGGGACTAGTCCCAGCACTATATCCCCTGGTCAGTGCCTGGACCCCAGGATTGTGCTCTGTACCTCATGTCTCCCCTGCCCAGATCATGCATGCAAAGATCAGGCCCTGCACCATCATACGTGCCTGATCTAGTGCAAAAGCCATGGCCCACAGGGCTCCCATGGATCCGTAGGGAGCTTCACGAGCTGGATGACACAGTACTGGGGGCCACATTTGGCCCTTGGGCTGGGGGTTAAGCACCTCTAACCCAGATCATATAATGCACAGTATGGTAAAGGTAATGGCCATAATTTTAAATTTTGTAATGGTGTTTTTTTGCTTGTGTGTGTGATGTAGATTGATTGAACAATCGATAGATATAATCATACAAGCAAACTATATAAATTATTTTTATTTTTTTGCATTTGATCCAGCAATGTTTGCCTTCACAGTCCAAAAGCTTAGAGACTCACACACACAGAACATTCTATTCATATTCCTAAACAAAATGAGTAGAGTCTGCGATAACAAATACAGCTGTTTGTTTTGTATTAATAAGTAATCTGAATTTAGGAATTGATCCAAACCTAACTTTAGCTTTTCAGTGACTTTGTTATACTTTGGGTCAGGTTGTAATAGGAGAGACCATATCTTTGTAGAATCAGAATTTTGATTTGAACTTTTATCCTGAATGCTAAGTATTTTTACTTGGCTCACTTTTTTTTTTAGCTTTCCGGTTCTGGTTCAAATAAGGAAGTGCAAATTCTGTGTACCACTATCCTGACATTCATAAATGTTCTTTTGGCATGGCTACAAAAATCTAATTAGCCTCTAAAGGACAAATTGTCTTTAGGGATTAAATCAATCTGAAGTACTATTAATAATAAAAGTCAAGTTGAAAACTACCTTCTAGAATTTTGCAAAATAAGCCAGCCTGTACAGACCTATATTTCTACTTTTCATAGATCTCCACAAAACAACATGTAGTAGCGTAGTATTTATTCAGGAACACAGTAATATAATTCTAGCAAACTTTGGGGTAGTATGTGCAGTAATTACCTTAAATGCATTTTTTGTTTTCTATAATATAAAAATTTAGAGATATTTGTGTCCTTTCATATAACAAAGTAGCATTTTGCCTATTTCTGTGTATTGCTTGCTTACTTCCTGTGTCCTGTCGCAGGTGTGTGTCAGCTTGTGAATAAGATGGAAGAAAACTCAGGTAAAATCAAGGCTTTCAATAGAAATGACGAACAGTTTTTGGAAGCTTTTGTCATCTTTTGTGGTTTGGGGATCCAGAATACCCAAATGTATGAAGTTGTGGAGAGAGCCATGGCCAAGCAGATGGTGACATTAGAGGTGAGCCCAAAATCTAGGCAGCCCTTATTTGGCTTCATACATAGTATAAATAATATATGAACAGAATTTGGCCCAGTCTTTTATACCGGGGTGGTACTGATTTGCTTCTTGTTTCTGCATTTGCCTGCATAGTATTTTATTTGTTGTTGTATTTTAACTGCACTCCTGGGGTTTAGTGGTGAACATGAACACAGCATTCCCTAAACATTAGGCTGCACATTGGGTACAGTGATCAGCATAGCTGGTTTGTCCTATTGCGTAGAAGGAGGAAATGGTTTGGAGGATTAGGGGCTTCCTCTTCTTGTCTGAGGTTTTCTGTGATGATTTTGGCTCAATCTGTTAGACAAACCAGCATGGAGAGTAACAGCAGCATTACTGTAGGCTTTCTGCAACTTCCTCTACCTACATCAAACCGTATCAGGCATGAACGTCATCTGGTCATAGCCTTTGAATTGGTTACTGTTAACTGTAATGACCGGGGTATTAAAAGGAGGCTCTAGCCTAAGATGCTAAACTGCTTGGAAGATAACTGTAAGCCAGAAAGTTAAATGTGATAGACTAATATTCAATGTGTAATAGTATCTTTGCAAAATTTGTAAAATGTGTAATATGTAGCCTCAAAAGGAAACATGATGGCTCTCTTGTTAACTTGGATCTAAGCATTTTAAATTGTGCAGATAAGAACAGTGCCATCAAAGCAGTGGCAGAGATCTTTAAAAGTAGGGTCTGACCACTTATTTACATCATAAATTAGTACTCAACTCTTTTATTATCTAAAAATAAAATTTGTTTAGAGATAGAGTTTACTATGTGATGAAAACATTTTCTCATTAAAAACTGAGAATGTTTTGTTGCGGGTATATGTATGTCCATATATGCAACAAACTACATACATCTCCAACCCTGTAACATTTTCCTCTTTTATTCTCTGGACTAAAAAACTAGCACGAGTTTATTTTGTTAATTTAAAACAAAAATATTTTCTCTCAGACTGTTCTGCCAAGTTTTTATCCAGGGCAGAATTTTCTTTTTTGTCTAAGTTACAAACTCCTGAAAGTAAGGTCTTATTATGACAGCAGTGTCAGGCTTGTAATTATAGCTGTTCCATGAGCTATGTGTATGTCAGATCAGGACATGAACATTTTCCACAGAGATAAGGAAAAAAGAAAATCGGAGCTCTTTGCCCAAAATTGTTTAAGTTTTCTTCTTTGGCTGGCTATATCAAGCCTTCACACATTGGGAGAATGGTAAATTACATATATCAGCCCTGATTCTTTGGTGCATTGTGAATGTGTACATGTCTGTGCCTTTGCAGAGCTCCATTAAAATCCATGGATCTTTGCAAAGGTACAAGTGTTTGTCCAAATATGGTGCATCACAAAATTGGAATTGCAGTCTGAAATCTTTGTGTTTTAAAGTAACCCCAGTAATTTGGTTGTTCTTACATTGCATGCTTTCATTTGTACTCAAGGCTCTTACTTTCCTTCTTCTGTAGATCCTCTCGTATCATGCTTCAGCTGCTGAAGAAGAAACGAGGGAGCTGCAGGTAACAGCGGTAATTGATTTTTTTTACTATTATTTATAAATTATTCTGTTAATGTAACGATGACTGACTCCTTTATGAGGACATGACTGATAAACATGCCAGGTGTGTTTAAAAAAAAAAAAGCTTTAGTTGCTTGGAGGAGTCTTAGTTACTACGAAAGCAGGGTTGTTGCTGCATTGGTACATCATGGAACAACAGGAAAATGCCATTGTGAGTCATGAGCAATGTAGTCTTGCTGGAAAGATTGGACCATAGGGAGAACAGAAGCATGACAGATTTTGAACAGAGGTTCTCAGTTTAGGCAGACATGATGATTAACATCAGACTAACCCACACAGTGTGCTTGTAACTTGGAATAAAAAATTGGGAATGTTGAGAACTCTTCCTTCCATGAAAAGTTTTATTGTTTTGACTCTTTGTACAAAAATTAGGATGAAAACAAATTGAAACATCAGGATTTCCATAACAGAAATACCATTCTTCAATCATAGTACTGCAGATACCGTTTCTACTGAAATCCCTACCTTTGTTCATTGTGTGATTTTGTGTTGTTGGTTAGTTTTAAGTTAGAACCACTTTCCTGATGAATGAGTATTTGTGTGATACTGTGATTAAGATACTCTTTCCCAAGAGAAATTATCCTGTGGCTTCAGGCCTGGGTCTAGCCATTTTTCATTCTTTTTTTCCCTCTTGCACTTCTGTTGCTACTTCCCACTGTTTGTCATGTGTTTTTATTTTGTGGGGTTTTTTTGTTTGTTTGTTTTCTTGGAGAACTCAATCACCACATTCTTCATTATCAAATTTGAACCCCATGATACTCCCATCATTAGATATATTTTTGGACCTTGACCTGTTGTGCCTGGTATTTCAGCAGTGCGTGTAAAGTGCTTTGAGAATGTCTGATATAAAAATGCTATGGAAGTGCAGTATTTTGTTACTGTGATAGTAAATATTTCATACTTTGGCATGTCTTTTGACTTCATGGAACATTTTAATGTCAAGGGATTCTGTTGCCTCTAGAGCTTCCATGTTCAATATGCTGCTCAGTTAATTTTGTGTGTGCTTTGTATTTTGCTCCCATCTTTGCAAGTGCCTTGGTTAATGTTTAGTTTACCACTCAATACCTAGCTCCCACGCAGCTCAAATTTTTGTTTGGATTCATTTCTTGCTAGCTCCCTTCTCTGAGTTCCAGGATAAATTTGAGGTTGATACTGGAAATTGCAGTCAAAAGATTGTAAAAACTAAATTTAGAAAACCTTTACAGACTTGCGTAATAAAACAATGTTACAGCTAGATTTGGCCCCTGGATTTATAAAGATACCCCCTATTGACTTCATCAAGAACTTGTGTTTTGTATGTACATTGAGTTTGACATTTACATCACTATGGTCTCATAGGTGTTATCCTAGAGAACACAGAATAATAATGGATGAAGTAGCATATGCTAGCAGACTGTTTAGCAGCAAGGCTGTCAGTGGCCAGTACTCCCCCAGCCGTCTGGTGACTGACCCTGAATTCAGACATCACTAATCCACTGTTCTCCCTACCTTGAGATTGGAAGGCCATGAAGAACATCTAGTGGTTAGTTGGTCCCTCTTTCCGTCAACCCCTTTGTTAGAGTTTCTGCTTTTCAGAAAAAAATCTTTCTTTCTGCTCTGTTGTATCTTTCAACATTCTGAGTTTAAATACTTTTGGGAAAAAAAATCACTCCTTATGTTGTTTTTAACATCTTGAAAAGAACCCCAACCAAATCAGCAGACTTCTACTATTGATCATGACTGCATATTTATTACGTTATGTTGATTTGTGCTAAAAAGAAAGGTTTCTGCTTTCTATACCATATGCTGGTGCTTTCTATATGTTAAAAATATAATCCAGCCATTACAAACAAAAATTAATACAGCAGCCTCCCTAGAGCCCCAAATGAAAAATATGAAACACTGCAACCATAGGCCCCAGCCCATGGAACTTTCACCTTCTTTCAAAAGCCTGGAGAAAAAGATGCGATTTGCAGCATACTCTGGAAATCAGCAGAAAAACCAGGGTGAGGGTTGACTCCAATGTACAAAGCCTTTGTAAACCAAGTTGGGGGTAGATAGGAAATGAGCCTCTTTGCTACTGACGCCAACTATGTCAGCCTCACACTGAGAAAGAAATGGTCTCTCTCTTCTAAGCTGATTGGAAATACCTTAAGGCTCTTTAGATTGAAATGTGCATCAGTCCAAAAGGGAAGAAATTGTGAAAATATTTTGGAAATGTATCCTCCAGAAGATGAAGGCAATGATGATCACAATAACTAGATCTACAATCAAAATAAATTGTCTCAGTCTTCTGCCCAGACATATACTGGGCAAATAAGCTATCCTAGTCATTACATGATTGACAGCATCTGGAGCGTCTAATAATGCCCCAGATCATTAACTTGGAAAAACAAATGGTGTGTTCACAAAGGCAAAGGGGCAGGTATGCTGCTTGTCATGTCTTCCAGTTGGTTCCTCTCCAACCGGCATCACTTCTCATAGTTTCATAGTTTCTAGGGTCGGAAGGGACCTGAGCAGATCATCTAGTCCGACCCCCTGCCATGGCAGGAAGAGCACTGGGGTCAAATGACCCCAGTAAGGTGGTCATCCAACCTCCTCTTAAAAAACCCCAGGGTGGGAGCCTGCACCACCTCACTTGGAAGCTGGTTCCAGACCCTAGCCGCCCTGACCGTGAAGTAGCGCCTCCTGATGTCCAGCTTAAACCTTCTCTCCGCCAGCTTGTGACCATTGTTCCTGGTCACTCCTTGCAGCGCTCGGGGGAACAGGGACTCCCCCAGTGCCTGCTGATCCCCCCTAACCAGTTTATAACTTCTATTTGAGCAAAATTGAGCTTCCTTCAGCTAATCATCATCTATGCCTAAAACCCTCCCAAGCACCTTTGTAAAGAGCAGGCTGTCACTCAGTATACTGAAAACTCAGCAGCCCAAGCTGCATAATTAATTCTTCCTATTGACTCATCTACACATTGAACAAGAAGGGGCACGAGAGAGAGCTCTGTGAAATACTGAGTAAGACATTCCTTGTCACTGAAGATTTCCTTGAAAATAACTGCGTGTGGGACCTTTCAGAAAAGAGTCACCCATTAAAGGGTGAGTCCCATCAGTAAGTACTCTTTAATTTTTGCATGCAAATAATATCATGATTAGCATAACAAAGGCAGCTGAGGGATCAGTGTGGACACCTGGTATTTGTCACTTAGTTCATCTGCCCAAACAAACAGTTTCCGTGCTCTGCATGTAAACAGGTCAGTGATCAAGTTCAGGAGATCTGGAAGTCCTAGGAGCTCGGACTTGCTTGCTCACAACTTTTCCTCAGAATCTTAAACAAAAATGACAAGAATAGATACTGGTCAGCCACTGCCAGGTTAACAGTATAGCAAAGGTGAACTGAGCGACACCCACACAACAGGTTCCGTAAGGGAAACTGGTAGCCTCTTCCCTCAGGAGAGGAAGCATTGCAGCCTTGACAGTAACCAGTCATGATAGATGCTGTTATTCCTCACTGGTTTTCAGCAGTAGGGAAAGACATAAGTCGAAAGTGCAAGTTGTGGTGCACTATGTTTTCAACAACTCCAGTTTTCAGTAGCATCACTTGGCCTAAATTTGGCCTCAGAAATCTGCTTGTTAGAGGTAAGATTCTCTAAATGTCAGAAATCTCTTCTTTAAAACAAATTCTTCCCTTTCCCCCCAGAGATGATCCCTTTTAATTCTGTTGTCATTTTCTATTTCTTCCACAACAATAAAAGTCCTAATAAAAAAATGCAGGATTTCATTGTTGGATACATTTGTGCCAGTAGTATGTCATAGATTTGTTAATCGAGCCTTAGCATATATTCATGCATGTGTCTGACATTGAATATTCATGTTTATTATCTTTGATTGAACCACTCCACTTCTTATAGGCTGGCCAGTAAGATAATGCATTGGACATATAAACTTCTGCAATATGTCTAACCTGACAACTAGAACAGTCACTAAGTGGAGGTTTTAATCTAAAATGATTACAGATGGTTATTCAGAAATTAAATCTGGTCTTGCAGTCCATTATCTGATGTATGAATTTAAGTTTTGTTCCCTAAAATTAGGATGAATACCAATCTTACTATTTAAAACTCTGTAACCAGCATCTACCATTTCTATTGTACTTGGACACATTTTTTGTTTGTTTATTTACATTTTTAACAGCAGAATGAAGCACTAGGAAATGTTAGAAAACTTTCCTGCTATCACATCTATCATATTTTTTGGAAGCCATCTGGTGTTTCTGTACATTCATGGACTTAGCAGCTGCCTAGGAAAAATCAGGGTCAAACAACTCTCAAGATGAAATAGTACATTTTTGTTTGGCTGGTAATCTATAGACCTAGTTTTAACTTTAATGTTGGATATCTGTTACTAAAACTTGTATTTTTTTGTTAGGAATGTGTATGTCAGTCTATGGGTTAAAACGACTTTTCTGTTTTTAATTTTAATCTGTGTAAGGTACTGATTGAGAAAACCATGGCATTAATGACTGCATTTGTAGTGTTCTGCTTAAAGACAAGCTGAAAGGTTAAGCATGTGCTCAGGTATTGTCCTGACGAAGGTTGCTTTCTGAACTCAGGCATATGCTGTCACTGCCAGATATGCTTTTTGATAGCCATTTTCATAGACTAACAAGTCTTTTGAGGTGGAATCCCTGGTCAAACTTCCAGGCCCTACTGCAGTACTTAAATAAATAAATATAGTAAGCATTACTCATATAGTAAGCTTGTTACAGTGCAGTTATGCTCAGAAAGGGCATTAATAGTTGGTACTCTTCTATGACAAGCTCTTTTGTAATTTTCCCATAGTACAAAAAAATAAAGCGTTGTGAAATGGAAGAAATGGTCAGTTGGGAAGCTAGTGCTGGTTTTAAAAGATATAGTGGTGTTCTAGACTAGGAATCAAGATTAAAATGATAACAAGTGTCATAGTTTTCATGAAATAG